AGAGAGACTCATTGACATGGACAATAGACTAGTGGTTACCAGAGAGGAGGGGGCAGGGAGGAGGTAGCAAGGGGGTCAAATATGTAGTGACAGAAAGAAATCTAACTATGAGAATTGAACACACAGTATAAATATATATATGCCTTACTGTTAAAGTGTACAGCTGAAACTTACTGGATTTTGTTAACCAATGTCACCATAAAATAAATTAAAAAAAAAAAAAAGAATTGGTTGGTCTTATCCCCAGTTCCTGGAAAGTTACTTTTAAATCTTTTGAATTTTCTGAGTTATAGAAATATCTTTGCTATTCATTGGGGCCCTGATAGTTTATATTAACTAGATGACTCAGAATTGGGACTGGTTATGCTGGAATGACAAACAATGTAATTAGAGGTTGGGGCTTTGACCTATGTGATATCAACTTGACCTCTGGGGATTAGAAGGGGGCTGGAGGTCGATTTCAATCATGAGGGCCAATGATTCAATCAGTGCGCTTACATAATAAAACCTAATAAAAACTCTGGACACTGGAACTTGGGTGAGCTTTCTGGTAGACGATATACTATATATTGTAACACATGATGTGCTGGGAAGGTAGTGGATCCTGGCTGCATGGGGAGAGAACAGGGAAGCTTCATGTTAGGGATGCTCCCAGACTTTACCTCATGAACCTTTTCTTTTGGTTGGTTCTGATTTGTTTCTTTTCTTTTCTTTTCTTTTCTTTTTTGTTATAACAAAACTATAATCATAAGTATAATGCTTTCCTGAGTTCTGTTATTGAACCTGAAAGGTTAGTGGGAACCTTCAAATTTATAACCAGCTATTCAGAAGTGTGTGGTCTGAAGACCCCTGAATTTTCTGGTATCTGAAGTAAGGGTAGTTTTGTGGAGGACACTGTCCTAAATCTGTGGAATTTGACTCAACTCCAGTAGGCGGTGTAAAAAGTCAATAGAACGTGTTTAGTAATTTGGGGGATGTTGGATATTGTGAAAGCTACATTGTTTCTTGTCTGGATTTCATTGTCTTCCTTTCAAGAGGGTTGGGCTTTGTTAAATCACTTGTGAATCATCTTGATCTCTTTGGGGGATTGATTTTACATTTTGTTAGGGAGGTAGCTTTCACTCTAAAAATCCCTACCACTAAAGCATGACCTTCTGGGATCATTACTAAATTTTAGGTAATTTCTAAATCAATCTCTCTCTCTGTCTCTCTGTCTCTCTGTCAGTCTATCTGTCTCTCTCTCTCTCTCTCTCTCTCTCACACACACACACACACACACACACACACACACACACACACCATACCACAACCACCTCTTATATCAAGCCCTTATACTCCGGACCACTATTCACCTGTCCTAATCACCTTAGAGCCATGTACCAGACAACTAAAGATAGTCCCTAAAATCAAGAGCACACTGAAATTATCCAAACTATCCAGTTCTAAATTTAACATACTCACCCTGCTTTGTCCATTTCTTCCTGTGGAAACTACAGTAAAAGCTCTCGTCCATGTTTTCCTCTCCCTCCCTCTGTCTCCTGACTATCCTGGTTCTTCCCTCTGGGGTCTTATATGATGTGCTATGCCTCCTGTTTCTAGGGATCTGTGCATATAAACTTCCTTTACGACAGTCATTTCTGTGTCTATGTGTCTCACCATACCTGATTAAAACAAATCTTGGGTACCATTAAAACACACACAAATTGTAAATACTATAGTGATTACATTTGTATAAAGTTCAAAAGTAGTCATAGCAAATTATGGTGTTAGAAATCAGAGTAGTGGTTATTCTGTGAGGAGATATGAAGGGAGGCATGAAGGGAAATTTTGAAATGCTAATAACCTAAGTGCCGGTTAGGAAAATGTATTCAGTTTGTGCATATCAATCAAGCAGTATATTATAATTTGAGCACTTTTTCTAGGTATATAATACGGAATGTTTGCATTATTGGTTCCAATTCTCTATTTCTCCCTGTATTCTTGTCCTTTGCCATGTAACTTTGCAATTCTCTCTCCCTCTGATTCTGGAATCCACTATGTAACTTGATTTGGCCAGTAAAACGAATAGGGAGTAAGAGTGTACTAGTTCTTCGCTTGAGCCTCAACAGGTCTTGCGTGTTTCTTGTACTCTTGTGCTTCTATTATTGAGATTACATAGACATGACGGGACTAGCTCACTCATCCTAGGATAAGAGCCTTGTGGAACAAAGCTGCCTCAGCTAAGTTTCCTTATCCAAAACCAGCTTGCAGCTTGTGGGCTCTCAGTTGCTCCACAGGTGAATGAATGCACACAGCCGAGGTCAGCCAAACTCAGCTTAGGTCAGCTGACCCCCATCAGACTCACAGATGCATAAACTGAAGATAATGGGTTCTAATAAGCTACTGACTTCTAGGATGTTTGTTATGCTACAAAAGCTAACTGATACCATAATGAAAAAATAATAATGAGGGCCAAAATTGGACCAAGTTAGGAAAAAGGAGAGGAAAAAGTTGAGACAGGAGAAATTTCATTTAAAAAAGAATTATTCTATTGATATGAGTTTGAAATGTCACATTGCTTTTTCTCCCAATATTTATGGCATCAAGAAATCTGTGGTTTCCTGAATCTACATGCCAGCCTCTTAGGGAGGCTATGGCTTTTGAGGACAGAGAAGAAGTAACAACCAGGAATGTCAGAGAGAGGATCTGGGTGTGGATAGGTCATAGAAGAAAAGATAAATTGGTTAAGCTTTGGGTAGGGGTGAATTTCGGGTCTCTAAAGGACATCAAAGTGGAATGGTTCAGCAAGAAGGAAATGTTGATCAGAAACTCAGGTCTTTCTTGGAGATCTAGAATTGAGTGTCTTCAACTACATAGTAACTGAGGAAGCTGAGATTAGATCCGCACTGTAAAGTCACTGCAAAAACAGCTCTGAGAAGCTCTGAGAGCCAACACTTGGTTACTCCATGAAAAGTACTTCGGTCAGTATGGATGATTCTTATGTGGCAATCAGTTGAAAATTGAAGCATGATTGCTATTAATTTACAACCTAACAGAGAGATGATAAATACCTCTTGGTCAGCAAGCAGAGAGTGCTGTCGCACTAAAACATCACCATATTCCACGTGTCCCAGAAATCAGAAAACACCCCCAAAACTGGGCAGATGTGACAGTGTGGCTTTCATTGGAACATCAGGGCGGCAGTGAGTGGGGAGATAGGAGATGAGAAGCAGTGAGTTGGAGCTAAGGGGGAAGAATGAAGAAATCGCCCAAGAAAGACAAGAGAGAGAAGGGAAAGGACTGGCTGGAGTCTGAAGTAAGGACCAGAGGAGAAAATTAATAGGGATAAAGTAATCAAGACAAGTGGGACAAGAAGATGTACAACAGCAGGTGAGATGTACAACCCTCAAGGAGGAAGCCAGGTAGGCAAAGAGAGATGAGAGGACAAGGGGTGCAAAACACAGGACGAGGGCAGCAAGGAAGTCTGGGTGCTGAATCACAGAAGGGAAGAGGAAATAGATAATGAACGAGGTAGGAGAAAGACTGGGTGGCGGTTGAGAGAAGAACAAGTAGAAGGAAGAGAGAAACGACCACAGCAGGGAGTTTAGAGCGCAGCGGCTCTCCAGGGGCACCAGCATGCAGAACCCCACTCATCCACTCGAGGAGCTGGGAGAAGGCGTCTCGCGGGAGAAGCCCTAGACGGTTGCCTGAACCTGGCCAGCTGCAGAGGTCCCAGGGAGGAGAGGTTAAGGCACACGGACAGGGTCACTGCTCCTGACTGCAATCTGTGCTTCCATACTCAGCGCTCAGCGGATGCGCTTCTTTGACAGGCAGGAGGCTCAGGGCCGCCCCCAGGGATGCAGAAGAAAACCAAGGAGGAATTTCTGCCGGGGAGAGGTTGGTTCCTGCCTGGAGACGTGATGGTGCAGAGAAGGCCTCATGCCGAAAGTGGCAAAGGAGCGCGGTGCCCCTTCGGAGAGGCTGGCGGACGCGAGAAGTGCCTAGAGTCGAAGGGCCCGAGGTCGAAGGAAGGGTGCAGAGTTGGTTGAGAGCGGGTGGGGAGTGAAGGAAGCATAGGGAACCAAAGGGGTAGCTTGGGTTAGTTCTCGTGCAGGGGCTCTGTGGCGTCAGCACGGAGGATGAGTGTGGCGGCGAGAAACAACCTGGGCTAAATCCTCCCGGTGGTTTTCTCTCTTAATTTCCTAGTCTCAGAAGTTGTAGCTTCAGAGATTGATGGGTGAGGAGTAAGTTTTCGAAGGGCAGTCTAAGGGGGGACCAGTGGCAGGTTGTGGAGAGGTTGGCCGCGTGGGTGGAGGCCCCGACATGGGCTAGTCGAAGGCTCCGGGGCCGCTGGTCAAGTTTTGGCCCCACGAAAGCCTTCATCCTTCCCTCCTCCCTGGCCGCCTTCCGAAGCACCAGCCCTGAGAAAGGGGCATTGCTGCTGAGCCAAGACAGAGGGGGCCGAGCCCAGGTGGGAGGCAGGATGGAGGGCGGAAGCCAAAGCTAAAGGGGCGGACACAGGGTGGTGGCTCGCGCTCCATAAAGGGGCCGTGGGGGCCGAGCTCTTCTCTGCGCAGGCACCGGCCACTGGCGGGGAACACGGCGCGATGTCCCTTCGCTGCCAGCAGAGCCCGGTGCTGGCGGGCAGCGCCACTTTGGCTGTCCTAGGTGTACTGTTACTGTACTTTGGGGAGCCCTCCGGCTACGGGAAGTACACAGGGAGCCTGATGCCTACGGATACCCGCCTGCCCGCCCGCGCCGCCTGGTTCCTGCAGGAGCTGCCCTCCTTCGTGGTACCGGCGGGGATCCTCGTCGGGCAGCCGCGCGCTCTCTTTGGCCCGCCTGCGACTGCCCTTCTGGGCCTCTTCTGCGCTCATTACTTCCACAGGTAGCGTTTCTCCGCTCTGGACGCACCGCGAGGCTCCGGGCGCCCACTGAGGACCGCTAGGGGCAGTGCTGGCGGCTGCTAGGGGCGGGGAGCCACCTGTCAGGGCCGGGGCTGCGGGCGGTACGCGAGCAAGCAGAGAGTGGAGAGGTGGTCGCGGGGGAGACGCCGCCTTCACTACCCCAGGCCCCGTGCGCATCTCAGTTCCGCTCCGAACTCTCTGGCTGCTTTGGGGAAGAAGGTGGAGTGAGGTGGGAAGAGAATGAGAAAGCTCAGGCTGGGCAGGGCTGTTGACCTGGATAGTTCTCTCTCCACCTCTTCAAAGTGCGGCGTCGCCTGTGGCATCCCTTCCCCCCACGCCTTCTCTTTCTTCCTTCACCTTTCCTGTGCAGGGTAGGGATGGGCTCGTTCAGGGATCTTGAGAGAGTCTAAGTGTTGGCACCTCTCGAAAGAAACTCGGCTCAGAGGGACTGATCACTTTAATCTGTGCTGGTCCGAGGAAGGAGGTGGGCAAAGCCGACCTGGACTTCAATGGTGAGAAAGAGAACTGATAGGAACCCACTGGCCAGAGACGGAGAGAGCCCCACTTCTCAGGCTCCACCAAAAAGGGACTGCCCTCGCTACCAACTTCTCTACCTTTCCAGTTCCCCTGGGATGTAAGTGTGACTGGGTCGAAGTTAACTTAGAGCCCAAATGTTCCAAATTAAAAATACCAAATTCAAGAGAACTTTGCCATCTGGTCTGAGAAAGAAAGGAAAGAAATCAAGGGCTTTTAGATTCAAATGACTGCCAACTCCCCAAAAAGGACACATAGGGAAGAGAAGAACACACGATTGAGTTGTCAGCATCCCCAATCAGTTAGCATCTATCGTCTCATCTAACCCCAAAAGTAAACTTGTGAGATATGCATTTATTATTCCTACTTTATAGACAAAGAAAATGAGGCTGAGTGAATTTAAGTGACTGAATGAAGATGATACAGCTAGTGCGTAGCTAGACTAAAATCTAAGCTTGTGAAACTCCATGGTTCAAACCCTTTTTAACATGTTAAGCAGGCATATACTCTATGCAAAGGAAAACAGGTCCATGGACAGAGAAAGGTTGCCAAATCAGGTCAAGAACTTGAAACAGAAGCACAGCCTTATACTTAGGTAGAGAATTTCTCGGATCCAAAGATCAAGGAAATCTAGATTAGAAATCAGGGTAAAGACTGTCTGGAAGCTGAAAGGCATAATTCCCTCTCTCTTATAAGGGAAAAGTGATGCCCTATTTCAGGAGAAGGAGGTGTTAGGGAAATTCCAACCTGTTTTTTCCTTATAATCTTTTATTATCCTCTGGATCATTTTTATTAATCAAGATTTAATATTTACGCAATCATAACTGAGTTTTCACTCTTTTTAAAAAAAGTATTGGCAAGCAATAAGTTTCAAGAAATACGGTTTCAGAAATGGGTGTCTTTTCCACAGATATTTACTAAAAGCCTGTTATCAACCATTTTATTTTACCCAGATTTAGATGTTTTAATCTGCACAGAAAGAAAGATGTTGGGTGCAGGAGATAAGAGACCAGCTTTTGACTTCAAAGTTTTTGGAACAGACATTTGATAGAAAAATATGATTCTATCAGACGATTACTTTTTTTAAAATTTGTTTTTATGGTGACATTGGTTAACGAAATCCAGTAAGTTGCAGCTGTACACTTTAACAGTAAAGCATATATATATATATGCTTATACTGTGTGTTCAGACAATCACTTTCATCTTCAAATTTACTACTGTCTGTTAGTACCGTAAACAATACTTTTATGCCATCATTTAATCTTAATGATTAGTGTTTTCTGAGAACCTTATTAACATAATTTTTAGACTTGTTTTTGAAACCAAAAGGCACTTTGCACAATAAATTATGACTGGCACATTAAAAAAACCAAGGTAATTACCCATAAAATGAATACTGACGTACTCTTCATCTTCTTCAGGAGTAAATTTAAAATATAAGTAAAGGATTTGAGTATTGATTCTGCCTGAGGGAAAATTGCCCACTGAAAATACAACTCTGATTTAGTTGTATTGAGGCATGAAGATGTGATGTTTGCTTATCTTTTCACTTGTGTGAACTCTTTCTTTGAAGCCACTGTAGTATTGGATCTGTTATCATTTTGAATACTTAGGAGATGTTCTGCTCTGTGCTAAATACTCTGTGAATTATTTACTGATCCTCATTTAAATCCGTTTAGATGGGCACCAGTATCACCCCCATTTTGCAAGTGGGAAACTGGGGCAAGCAAAGATCATGCAGTAACCCAGGGTTCAGACGCAGAGAATTTGAGTCTAGAATTCAGGCTCTTAGATAAACTATTTTATGACTAACTATTTAATACTTGTGCTTGTTGCCTTGTCCTTGCTTTTAAAAACTATATTTAGGTTTAAGTTATATCTTTCTTTAAAAATTTTTTTAAAAATTAATTAATTTATTTTGTACGGTAGCACTGATTAACAAAATCCAATAAGTTACAGCTGTACACTTAAACAGTAAGGCATATATATATTTACACTGTGTGTTCACCTCCCATACTTATAGTTCTTTCTGTCACCACATATTTAACCCCCTTTTCCCTGTCTATCTCCCTCCTCCTCCTTCACCCCCTACCCCTGATAACCACTAGTCTATAGTCCATGTCCATAAGTCTCTGTTTGTTTATCCTATTCATTTGTTGCTTTTAGGTTTATATCCCACATATAAGTAATATCATATGATTTTCAACTTTTTCAGTCTGGCTTATTTCGCTTAGCATGATTGTCTTGAGGTCCATCCATGTTGTCGCAAATGGCTGTATTTCATTTCTTCTTATGAGTAATGTTCCATTGTATATATGTACCACAGCTTCTTTAGTCGTTCATCTGTCGTAAGACACCTCGGTTGCTTCCATGTCCTGGCCACCGTGAATAATGCTGCTATGAACATCGATGTACAAATATCTTTTCAGATATGAGTTTTCAAGTCTTCAGGGTAAATACCCAGTAGAGGAATTGCTGGATCATATGGTGCCCACCAGCAGTGTATGAGGGTTCCTTTTTCTCCACAGCCTGTCCAACATTTGTTATTACTTGTCCTGTTGATAACAGCTATTCTAACAGATATAATATGATATCTCATTGTGGTTTTGATTTGCATTTCCCTAATAGCTAGCAATAATGAGCATCTTTTCATATATTTGTTGGCCATTTGTATGTCTTGTTGGGAGAAATGTCTGTTTAGTTCTTCTGCTCATGTTTTGATTGAATTGTTTGTTTTGTTGTTGTTATTGAGTTGTACATGTTCTTTGTTTATTTTGGATATTAGGCCCTTATCGGAGGCATTGCTTACAAATATATTTTCCCATTCAGATGGTTGTCTCTTTACCTTGTTGACAATTTCTTTTGCTGAGCAGAAACTTTTTGGTTTGATGTAGTCTCATTCATTTATTTTAGCTTTTACTCTCCTTGCTTTTGAGGTCAAATTCATAAAATCCTCTTTAAGTCTAAGGTCCTTGAGATTCATTCCTATGTTTTCTTCTATGCATTTTACTGTTTCGGGTTTTATAGTCAGGTCTTTAATCCATTTTGAGTTAATTTTGGTGTGTGGTGATAGACAACAGTCTAGTTTTATTCTTTTGCAGGTGTCTTTCCAGTTTTCCCAGCACCATTTATTGAAGAGACTTTCCTTTCTCCACTGTATGTTTTTTGCTTTTTTGTTGAAAACTATTTGCCCATATAAACATAAACATGGGTTTAATTCCGGACTCTCGATTCTATTCCACTAGTGTGTGTGTCTGTTTTTCTGCCAGTACCATGCCATTTTGATTACTGTCACTTTGTAGTATAATTTGAAGTCGGGCAGAGTGATGCCTCTAGCCTCGTTCTTTTTTCTCAGGATGGCTTTGTCATTTTGGGGTCTTTTGTGCTTCCTACAAATCTGATGATTTTTTGTTCTATTTCTTTAAAAAAGGCTGATGGGATTTTGATGGGGATTGCATTAAATCTGAATAATGCTTTAGGTAATGTGGTCATTTTAACGATGTTGATTCTTCCAATCCAAGAACATAGAATATCTTTCCATTTCTTGGTATCTTCTTTGATTTCCTTTAATAGGGTCTTGTAGTTTTCATTATATAGGTCCTTCACATGCTACGTTAAAATATTCGTAGGTATTTTATTCTTTTTGTTGCAATTGCAAAAGGAATTATTTTTTCCACTTCTTTTTCTGATGCTTCATTATTAGAGTATAGGAACGCTATGGATTTATGAACATTGATTTTGTATCCAGACACTTTCCTATATTTGCTTATTGTTTCTAGTAGTTTTCTTGTGGAGTCTTTAGGAATTTCTATGTAGAGAATCATGTCATCTGCAAATAGTGACAGTTTGACTTCTTTATTTCCTATTTGCATGCCTTTTATATCTTTCTCTTGCCTGGTTGCACTTGCTAGGACCTCTCATGTTATATTGAATGACAGTGGTGATGGTAGATAGCCTTGTCTTGTTCCTGATCTTAGAGGAAAGGTTTTTAGTTTTTCACCATTAAGAATAATGTTGGCTGAGGGCTTGTCATATATGGCCTTTATTATATTAAGGTCTTTTCCTTCTATACCAATTTTGTTAAGTGTTTTGATCATAAATGGATGCTGTATCTTGTCGAAGGCTTTTTCTGCATCTATCGATATGATAATATGATTCTTATTTTTTTAATTTGTTTATATGATGTATCACATTAATCGATTTGCGTATGTTGAACCATCCCTGTGCCCCTGGGATGAAGCCCACTTGATCATGGTTTATAATCTTTTTAATATGTTGCTGTATTTGGTTTGCTAGTATATTGCCTCCTCTTCGATTTTTTGGAAGAGTTTGAGAAGAATAGATATTAAATCTTTGAATGTTTGGTAGAATTCACTGATGAATCCATCTGGTCCTGGACTTTTCTTTTTTGGTAGGTTTTTGATGATTGTTTCAATTTCCATACTG